TTTTATTTCCCTGCGGTTCAACCCGAGACAGAAGGGCAGCTGCACTGTAAGCCAATCTCGACAGCAAGGGCTGCACGGTTTCATACCAGCGAGGCCATTAGACATATTATTAGGCAGCACAACCCAGGCTCAGGAATCCCAGGCTGTGGGATTCCAGCTGGAAGGCTCCTCCGTGCCCTAATCCCCCTGGTAAGGTGGGGAAGCGGGACAGCCTGCCAGCTCTCCCCGCTACACGAGCTGCCCGGGGCCGAAAACGCTCGGCCGCCTCCTTGCCAGGCTGCCGGTTCTCATGGGGGATCGCGTTTGAAAAGCGGAGAAGTGAGATATTGTATTTCATGGGGCTGTTTTCCAGCTTTTTTGGTGGGGGGAGAGAATGGTGTGGTGTTAAGTATCGTCTCTGAATCTGATGCGCTCGTGTGTTCCCACTCACATCTGGCCTCCCGTTACCAGATGTTGGAAATCCTCCTCCACGCTCACGTCAAGCCTCAGCATCTGGCCCCGTATGTGACCTCCAATAAGTCCCAGGAGTGGTTGTGTCTTTACCTGGACCAGTTTGTCGATCCCAAGAGCTCGATCCAGCTCGGCCAGCTCCGTCTCGTCTTTGCCGCTGAGGAAGGAGACGAGCTGCTCGAGCAGGGCTTTCTCGTCGTTCCGACCCTCCGGCGTGGTGGGAGGACACAGGAGCTCATCCAGCTGTGAGGTGATGCACTGGCTGCAGAGAGAAGAAGTCAAGGGAGGCACGTTAAGGTTTACGAAGCAGCCAGGAGGCTGAGCTGGGAGATGCTCGAGCCACACAGCCCCTGCAGCCACAGGGACTCGCTCCCACCCCGCTGCATCATGCAAACCCCACGGGATGCAGCCCCGTCCCCCGGCTCCGACACCGGCTGAGCCCGCTCAAGCTCAAGCCCCATGCCGAAACCTGCTTGTAAGGATGAACCTCTCCACGAAACAAAGCCCGGACAGAGTTTCGCTGAGGTTTGGGAATAAAACTTTGGTGCTTTTGCAGGCTTTGCTCCCACAGGCATTTTGGGCAGGATAGCGGGAGGCAGAGCAAAACTTCTGCCGGCACGAAAGCAGGGAGGCTTGGATGGAGCCGGAGCAGCTGGAAGCAAAGCAGCTGAAGGCAAAGGGGAACCTTTGAGCTGCAAAAATAAGATTTCTGCAAAGCTCGCTCAATATTCTTTGGGAATAAGATTAATATGTAATGAGAGACATTCCAATGACGTGACTAATTGGAGTCAATCGGATTTGCCGGGTCTGACACGATGAAGAGAGCCGTGGCACATCACGCTTGCAGAGAGGCACAAAGGCGAGGGCTCGAACATGCCAGCAGTTCCCAAGCAGCAGACATGTTTATCCTTTTAGCTCCAGATGAGGACCAGATGTACAGTAAGGAACTGAAGCCAATCTGACCGAGACCACTGCAGCCAACACACGCAGCCTAATCCAGGGAAAAGAAATACTCGGCGTTGGGATTTCTTAAATTGCAGAGCGGGAGCAGAGAGGGAAGCAGGGAGACAGAGGTGAAAAGCAGGGCTGGTTTCACTCCGTAGCCAAGGTCCCTGCTACTTGCTGCTTGTGTCAAACCCAGTTTTTCAGTGCCAAGGCCAAAGGACAAAGTTTGCTGCACAGACATCGTTCTTGCAGAGGAAGAGGAGGACAGGCTGCTTCTCCACAGTAGCAGGCAGCTAGAGGAGAAATTCAGGTCGACACTGTCTCTTCAGCCCATGCTGGACCTCTGCATGGATGGCAGAAGTTGGTTTATAAAGAGATCATGGGGATAATACAAGCTTGATGTAGTAAATAAACCTCCGGCGCATCCTGCTTTGCAGCCCAAGCCAGCCTGCAGAGCCTTCCCCACCCTTCCTCTCCTCCAGCACCGTGCCATGGTGGGGTTCAGATGAGTCTCCGGGCAGGTAACGGGGGGCGGAGGAGATCTTGGACCCTGTGCATCATGTCCCCAGTCATACTGGTTCTGCGTTCCAAAGGTTTTCTATCCACCGCGACCCTTTGGGCTTTTTTTAAGGTGAAAACTCTGATTCTGCATGTGGTGAGGAGGAGAAATTCAGCTACTTGAGGAGATGGTGTCAAATGCCGCTTGAGGTGCCATAAAACATCTCCCTGGCATGGCCTTCAAGCGCTGCTCCGAAAGGCTGCAGGTCTCCGGCCCTGCACAGATGTCCTAGAAACCTCAGGCATCTCAGATGGCTCTGGGTGCCAGCATTGAGGCAACCGAATCGGCCCCCAGGCGGCATGTTTGACCTTGGGGTATTAGAGGAACGCGTGTGAGAATGGCAACCTGGATTTGCTTCAAGCAGCCTTGGACCTGGCCCAAGGTGTCCCTCTTCTGCAGAAGACACGAGAGCACCTGTGCTTGGGACAGGAGAGCGAGGATATTGTTGTCCTACTTTATCAAGAGGCAAAAAGCAGGGGGAGGATTTGGGGAATGGGAGAATTTAAAAAGGAAGCTCCTGTATCCCAGGAGACCCGGTGCTGGGAGATCTGGGCATCACCAGCTCCTTAAACAAGGCCAGGAGCTCAGCCCACCTCCAGCTAATGTGAACCTCCCAGCTGGGAAACCTTTACAACACCCAAAGCAAAAGCTTTGCTGGTTTGATCTTAGCTAAAATATATTTCTTGGGCCTGTAATATCTGCAGTCCAAAGGCTCTGTCTGCTTGCTCTGACTGCGGTCTCTGTTGGGTAGTCAGGCAGCCGCTGGGACCGTGGGCATCTCCCAGGACGAGCGTGTCCTCCCCAGCTGGAGCACATCTGCAGGTCTTGAGGATCAAAATCCAGAGGTTTTTCCCCAGCAGAATCTCTTCTCTCGGCTGCATTGGAAGCGGGGTTTTGTAGTTGATCACCATGCCGCTAGATGGAAGTGTTTAGACCCCACCGAGATGCTGCTAAGGCAGGTCTCATCCATGATGCTCCATCAGACCTACAGTTACTGAAGACACGAGAGGGAACTGAGCTGGGAACCAGCTTCTTCCAGTGTTGCCTCTGCCCACCACCTCTGGCAGCAACCAGCCGTGCCCGGACACCCTAATTCAGGAGGAACGGAGGCTCACCAGGACGAGCAGCCCTCTACCTCTCATCTTGCTGTCATCTCGTGATGCTGGTCCACGCGTTGGCTCTACCGGTGGCTCCACTGCATGGGGAGTCCAACCTTGCTGCAGGGAGGCGATGGAGCCATGGGAAGGCCCACCACACAGCATGGTTTTCCTTGCTTTCTCCCCCATCAGTGCTGAGAAAATCAAATACTACCTTGTAAAACCCTAACCAGGTTGCAATTTTAAAATGTGGTTGAAATCACTGCTCTCCAAAGGCAGGGACTGCGTGAGCTTTGTTACCGGCACATCTCAGCAGGCTTCGGGCAGATGCCGCCACTCCACCGGTCCGACCTTGTCTCCTGGCACAGGGCTCTGCCCTGAAAGCCACCCAAGGTGTTTTTCCCACCGGAGGATTCAAGGGATGCTGTTGCCAAATGCTTTCCTCCTTCATACCTGCGCAGGTCCCAAGCCTTCCATGCCACTCTGGGTCCTCACTTCAATAATCCTGCTGCAAAGGATGAGCCAAAAGAAAACCCAGCTCCCTTCCTCCCAGCTGCACTGGCTGGGGAGACACAAATGTCTACAGCCAGCCAGACTGACTCAGTGCTTGGAGCACAAGGCTGCTGAGTAAGGTAAGGTCATTTTTACCCCATAAGCAGCATTTTAAGGAACATTCGTAGTGTAAAAAACAGCGCGATTTTTCTAGCAACTCTGTCCTTTGCCAGGTATGCCCCATGGATCTTATCCCAACAAAATAATGACACTGGCAAGGCTTAAAAGGAAAGTTACTTCCTTGTGGCAAGGACTTGGGCTGATGTAAATGCTTAGTTAAACGGGGATTTGTTTTATCTCCCAGCTCTTTCAAGCAACGAGAGGCTGAGTCTTTCCAGCAGAAGTCCAAGATCCAGTTGCAGCCGTGGAGACCACTTAGGCAACTCTCTTCTTGGGCTGAGCAAAGAGCTTTTAGAAATTAAACCAAATTTAGCTCCTAGAAAAAGATGTTTGGCTACCGGCTTGCTCAGATACGACCCTTACATGTGTCTTCTTCATGACTGGAAAACAGAGACTGTGCTCATCTGCTGAAGACTTTAATTAGCAGAGGAAATTCTGCCTCTCTGCAAAGCAGGGCTGGGCTTTGGCAAGAGGATCCATGCAGAGCTCATCAGCGCTGGCTCTTAAAGCAGGTACCCGAAGCCCTCCCCGGGCCAGGGGGAGGATTCACCTCCCATCTGCATCAAATCCAGCTCCGTGAGCGCTGCTGCCTCAGCAAGGACTTTGGGGTGCCCCCTGCCAGGGCAGGGCATCAACCGCCAAGCTCCATCAGCAGGGCTTGCCACCCTTCCGACCTCCCGTCCCAAAATACCTGACCTACTGTCCCCTCCAACCCGTTTATAGCCAAGGAGTGACGTTGTACTTTGGGGAGGTCATGGCCCCTTGGCTGCTCCATGGGGCATGGACCCAAAAAATGTGGTTAGAGGACCGGAGGGGGTTATTTGACCCTGAATTAGAGCTGTAATAATTTTAGCTGAAACCAGGCACATGGGGACTGCAAAAAGCTGCAATTGCGTGGAAACAAAAAACTGTTCTATGGTTTTCCAGATCCCACCGCTGCCCCTGGCGAGAAAGGATGCTGGAGAACACCAACCCAAATACTGGCACTGGCAAGGGATAGTGGAGACTTGCAGCATCCTTGGCTCTGCCATGGATATTCAGGAATATTCAGGTCCAGACATACCCTGGATGTCTCCCCGCCCTGACCTTCCTCGCCTACCCACGCACTTGTCCCTAGAGAGATAACCGACGTCATCTCCCGCATTGTAGCACCCTTCCCATCCCAGGTCCCAGCACTTTTATGGTACCAGCAGCAACCACCGCTGCCGTACGGCGAGGGGCAGTCGTGCTCATCCCAGCCTGCGCTTGCCAGGTTTCCAGGCAGGCAGCAAGCAAGGACACGTCTCTTTGACCCAGTCAGCTATTTCCAGGACATCCTGATGTTCTCCTGGGACAGGTCGGGAAGCCGCCAGCCCTGCAGTACTTACTCTTCGGGTTTATTCAGCGCGCCTCGATTCATGGCTGACATGCTGTTATCCGTCCAGGGGATCTGCTCCCCCATTCCCGGCTGTCCAAACTGGTGATCCGGCACCCCCATCTCCAGCTCACGCATTCCTGGAGGGAAAAGCAGGATGGGAGGAAGAAAGGTTAGTGCATGAGCAGGACTCGGGTGCTGCCGGGGGGACCAGGCAAGCTCAGAGCAACGGGATGCCAACCGCGTCCTAAAACATCCCTAAAAGGGATGCCAAGATTCACCAGTTATGGATCTTTTCAACCCAAAGTTACAGGTATCAGGTGTGGCTTCCTAACCATTAATTATAAGCACGAACTTCTGGGTGAAAATCAATGCAGATCCTGCACACACAGCAGATATATATGACCCTGTGTACCCAGTATGTGCACATGCTATTAAAACATTTCCCTTTTCAGCACATTTCTAGCAAGATTTTCCAATTTTAGTCAAGTTAGAAGGTTTCTTCTTGAAGGCAAATTGTTACTACCAGAGATTTTAGCTTAAAAACTAGCCCACACCCATTAGCATCTTCTGCCTCTCTTTTGGAGGAAAGTTAATTTGCACACAGAAAGGAGCCAACGCAATTAAATTAAGTTGTAGCAGAACTTGGAGCCCGAGACCAGGACAGAGAGATTTATGAGGCTGAAGACTTTACATCATCCCATTTGAAATAGGAATTGGGATTGAAGATCAAACGGCATCTCAGCAGAACCAGCCCGTGGAGATCCAAGGAGATGGAAACCGGAGGGGTAAGCACATTTCTGGCCACGGTGGCATCTCTTCCACATCGGGATGTGCTATCGGTGGCCGCCCCTATGCCAAAACCCCCGAGTTTCTAAGAGAAGCGCTGATGAAGGCAGTTGCTACAGATGAAAATCTCTCTTCTTTTAACCAAGCTCAGCTGTGCTGATTCTTTTCCCAATAAAATATCCTTGAAAAGATCTTTGGTTACCCAGTGCCCGGTGTCTTCGCTGTTGTCACAAGGAGCCACCAGCTTCATGTGCCACCCAGATGGTGGGGTTTGTTTCAAAAAAGAGAAAATAAGAGCCCTGAGGGGAAGGAGGGAAGGAAGGCCCAGCTTGGGCATGCTCAGTGTCCCAGCATATGCACCGGCACGGCGGCTCCTGCCAAGCACTCCTCTATTTCTCAAAATTTCTTAAAAAAACCCCATAAGGTTGCTTGGCAACAGGCGGATCCCGGTGGTGCCAGCAGCAGTCGCAGCAGCTCCAGCCAGGCCGTGGAGGCTCGTGGCACAGTCATGGTGAAGCCCATCCCCAATCCTTCCTCAACTTGCCCAACAACGGTCCCCAGGCTCATTGATGCTGAAAATCGCAGATTTTCCCAAGCAGAGCATCATTCACCGGCAGCTCATTTACCACGGTGTGGGTGACGCTCTTTGAGGCAGCTGGACCCGGCCGTGGCTTACCAGGTATCAGGGCAAGATGTAAAATAATAATATTATATAGCTGCAAGCTGCTGTGACAATGCAATGCGCAGGGCTGATCTCTGTCTTGGGGGGCACTCGGAGGAAGATGAAAGCTCTCCTGTGATGCTCTCCTTCTCAAGAGAAGCTGCCCAAACTGAGAGTTTCACGTGATTCCGAAGGACCGGTTGTGTGCAGGGCAATCCAGAGTTGCAACGAGTACCGGCTACGCGCATCCTGCATCCGTGGGCTGGCGGGGAGCGTGGCAGTCCCACCCCGCAAGCAGGGCCAGAGCTGTGCTCCAAGGCGAACGGTGTGTGAGATGCAGGGCTGATGCTCTCCTGGAGCCCGGCCACCGTCAGAGAGGGGACAGCGGATGAATCCAGCAGCTCTTCTAGTCCCATGCTACCGTCATGAGAAGATGAGATCTGGGTTATCTGCTTTCTGCACCTGCAGTCAAGCCATTGTACAGCCCCAGTGCATGGTGGCAAGCAAGGTCCCTCTTCCAGATCATGTTTAACATCGCTTGATGCATTGAGGGAAGCATCGAGGGAAGCAGAGGAGGGCAGAGAAGCAGTACCCACAACTCTCCAGAGCTCAGGCTGCCGAAATGGCTCACGGCAAAGTGTGCGGTGTTTTATTGTCGGCGATTTCAGCAAGGTGAGGTGAGACTGTTGCTTCTGCAGCTCTTCTCCCAACACACCACCCATGCTCCGGGTCTCATGGAAATTAAAGTGGGGACCCGGGGCGGCTGCCACTGCTCGGGTGAGGGGAAGCAGCCTCCTCTGATGCCTCCCTGGGAGCTGGGACTGACAGAAAGGTCTTTATTTTGTCTGAAACTACACCGACGTGAAAAGAGGGAAAAGAATAAGCACAGTTGCGAAGCTCACTGCTTGCAAGAAGCTGGTGGTGAACAGCGAAGCTCGAGCTCCACCCTGCAACGCCTTTTCTCCTGTGGGACTCCTTGGAAAGCCTTAGCGTAATCTGGAGAAGGTGGAGAGGAGCGGATGCCTGCGGCTGTACGTACCTGTGTCGGGTGGGAAGGGGTTTGGTGCGGTCACCGTGCCCCTGCCCTGCTGGGACGGCCCGCGGGCGGGCGGGCTGCTGGCGCTGGCC